AGGCGAGGAGGAGGAGGATATGAATGACTGAAATGTCCTGGGCGATACCCTCCGTGCTTTCCTGGGTTAAGCTGGTCCATCCTCCAGCAATCCTATGCAACAGAGATCTTTATCATTCCCACTCTGCAGACCAGGAAACTGAGGCAAGGAAGTGCTGCAGGAGCAGGGAGACAGCCCCATTGGAAGAGCTACTGTGTGTGTGTGTGGATTGGGGCCCTGTGAAAGTGCTCTTGAGAACATCCATGAAAGATGGGGTGACAGAGTCGCCCATTTCACAGATGGTGACACTGAGAATGGGCAACAAACACCCAAGACAGTGGAGGCGGAGAACAGACAGGGACCAGAACTCATGCAGCTTCCTCCAAAGAGGGCTGACATCCCGGTGTCTGCAGAGGCTCAGGGAGATGTGTCTGGAGCAGACAGAGGGAAAGGCCCTCTGGAGACAAAGCTATGCTGGGAGCTGGTCCTCACCATCCTACCAACCCCTCTCGCCCTCTGCCCCCATCTCCTGCTGAGACAGGACATCAAACAGGTCTTCTGCTGTTTCTCTTGGGCGATGTGGACCATGAAGGTAACTGTTGGGGGTCAGCTGGTGCTGAGTGAAGCCCAGAGAGCAGGGCAGGAGTTTCCAAATTCCTGATTTCTTCTGACCTCGCCTTGTTACCAGAAATGATTGCAAGGGTCTAAACAGGGCCGTTCTCCCTGACATATGCAGTTTGCTGAGACAGAAGAATCCCAATCTCTTTTCTTGTCTTACACGGTGAGTCCTAAGAGCTGACAGTGAGTCCTCACTGTGGACTGTGTGCTACGAAGCACTTGCCGATGTGTGTTAGATTCACAGAGCCTCACAATAACATGTTTGGTGACCGGTTTCTCAGCTGAGAGCGGGGCCCAGAGAGCTTGTGATGGCTGCCTGAGGCCCCAGGAACCCTCAGCTGGCCTGTGTGTGGGGCCCAAGCTGGCCATATGGAGTCAGCTTCCAGAGAAGGCTCTGTTGGGGAGCTTTCATGTAAAATAACATGGAGGGAGGCAGAGAGCACCCCAGCGGGCAGCTGGGGAGGTGAGGCCCAGGGCCAAGTGCCACAGAGTCAGAGGTCAGAGGGCCTTCTCTGACCTCCTGACCTCACACCCTGGGTGGGCATATAGACTGAGTACAAAGCTGCACCCCAGGCTGAGGAGGGGAGAGGCCCTCCCAGTGCTCCCTGACTCCCTTTCCTAAAAGAGACCTGTGAGCTTGTCAGTCTGCCAACCCTCCTCCTGCCCTCCATTTCCACATGCTCCCAGCCCCAGGACGCCCACCTGACACTGGAAAAACCTTGGCGCCAGAGAGACACACTCAGAAATCAGACTCTACACAAGCTCCATCTTTCTGCTTTTGCTGTAGAGCAAGAATGTCGCACAGGAGGCAGGGGGAAGGCTCCCACGGGCAAGGGCGTGGCATCTTCCCAGGCTCAGTGGCCCTCCTGAGTGCGGCTGCCCGCCTTCCATACTCCCTGAAACATGCCACCCCCTTCCTTACATACCTATGTCAAAAAGCAAACACGTCAAACGCCTTGGCGAGCTGACGCCAGGCAAGAAAGAGGCAGGCAGGGAATGCTTCTCAAAGTTTGGGAAAGCATCTCAAGTATGTGGGGCCAGGAAGCACTGGTCCTCCCACCAGTTGCCCACTCACCTGGAGCCCGGCCCCCGAGCCATCCCTGGCCTGGCTGCACTTAAGTCACGAAGCCTCAGGTCTTGACTTATCCGCTCCCACCGCACCCTGAGAGTGAGGAGCGTATGTATGGTGGGAGGACCACAGGGGCACACATTCCCTGAGGCCCGGGCACAGGCTCTGAGGCCCCAGCACATTCTCAATTTTTGAGAAACTCGCTTCTGCCCATTAATCAATGGGCATCTTTTCTTGGCATCGCCCTCTCCACCCACCTCAGGTTTATAATTATCAATAATTTCCCACTGGGCCAACCCTGACCAGTACCCCGCCCAGGTTTTTGGGTTTGGGTTGGGGACCAGGAGCAGGGAGGCAAGCCCTTGGCCACCAGGGCTCGTTTTGGGGGCCCCGAGAGCTCTCTCTCCGTGCCCAGAGTGTAGCTCACAAGCCTCTCCCAGGCCCAGAGGTGACCCCGAGGCAGTCGTGAGGTAAAGGGGAGGAGATGCCCTCGAAGGATTTATGAGCCACGCACTGAAGCTCCCAGGACCCTGCATTTCCTTCTCTACTGATCTTCATTTCTTGCTGGCAGAGTGGGCGGTGGGCGTAAGTGAGGCCCAGCTGCGGGAATGGCCTCTGCACTCACCTGGTCATGGTACAGATGAGGAGACTGCGGCCAGGGGGGAGGAGTAGTCTTGGTCTCCTATTCCTGAGCCCAGGGCTCCAGCAGTTCGAGGGTGTGAGGCACTCTCCACTTGGGCATCCGTGGGGCAGGCCGCTTGAACCAGGGCGGTGAGGACCACCTGGCCGCACACCCAAGTCAAGCCTTGGGAGAGAGCCCTGGGCTGGGCCGCACGGGGCGGCCTCTCACTGGTGGCGGCGAGCTCAGGGCTTCTCTCCGAGTCTTGGAATGACGCTCCCCCCGCTGCTGCGTCTCCCAGGCTGGGAACGTGGGGCTCTCTCCAGGTCGGCCCGTATCTGTCAACACTGGACCCCGGGTAGAGGCTCAGTTCACCCAGCCAAGGTCGGCTGGGGACCCACGGAAAACGGGCTCCGCTGCGGCGCGCGGGTCGCTTCCACTGCATTTGCAGGATCTTTGAAACCTGCCTCGCCCTCGCTTATCGGGTCGGCAAGGAACACAAGTACCCCGCTCGGCTTCGCGCACACTGCGGTAAGCACTCCTTGGGGCCGCCGCAGCCGGGAGTCCTGGCAGCCTGGGACTGGCGCCCCGGCCCTTCCATCCCCGGCCTCCTTTCCCCCTTCCCGGAAAGGCCCTGGGCCTCGGAGGACCGAGCGGCCGAAGGAGGGGGCGGCGAGCGGCTGCGTGGAACTAGGACAGCCTGGTCCCCGCGCAGTCCCTGCAGACGCGCAGAGCAGCCGGGCGGGCGCCGCTCGGCGTCGCGCTGCCGCATCTTGCTGCTCCGCCGGGGAAGCAGCGGATTCCCGAGGCCGCTGCACCCGTAGGCCCGAGGTCCGCAGGGCTGCTGAAGGCCAGGGCTGCGCCCAGCCCTGAGCCAGCGCCCAGCACAAGGCCGGCCTTCCCGCACTGACCCGCACTGACCCGCACCTACCCTGGCCCCCAGGGCCTTAGGCTGAGGCAGCCTTCGGGGATCGGGGCCCAGCGGACCGGCCTGACACACCTCTCCACTCTGCCTCCTCCAGGGCCTGGATAAAGCCCCAAACACATTCCCAGGAGAATGGAAGGGCCCCTGTCTTGGCCCCCACTACGCTTGGGTGAGCAGCCTATGCACAGTGGGAGGCCTTCTTTCCCCAGAGGAAAATCCCAGAGGGGTCTCCGTGCCAGCTCCAGGCTTCACCCCACTCCATCCCATTGTTCTTTTCTTTATTTTCCGTGTGTTTTTTTCAGTCCTCCTCTGAGTTCCAAATCTTAAGATGAGGGCAAGCTTTCAGGGAGGACTCTGAAACATCTGGGGAAAGAGAAAGCCAGCTAGAATATGCTCTTCTGCTGCGGCCAAAATGAACCCAGACCGCCAGAGTTGGGCAAGCAGCGCTGGGCGCCTCATTCTGTAGCACAGAGGGGATGGCTGGTCCAGCTCACTCAAGCAAAGCATGGTGGCCCGGGGGCCCTGCTGAAGGTCAAGCGCCAAGCACCAAGGCTCCCAGCTCCTGCGTGTTACAAAAAGGAATAAAATGCAGCCTGTAAGTCTTGACCACATGCCACCTCTGGGGCCACAGGAGGAAAGAATCTGTGTCGCACATACAGAGAAATGCATTATGCTTAAATTTCCCCCAGTTCTATGTCAGGGTAACATAGAGACTAAATGGCATGTTTAAAACACCATCAGCACAACACCCAGGTTAACGTTCAACGTCATTGTTTCAAGCAAAATCACCTTTTGAAAAATCGTCATCGCCTGAAACTTTCAGTCCACAAGGAGCTTCACCTTTGGCGAAGTGCAGCTCACCTGCTGGAGTGGGAAACACATTCCCAATTCGAACCTCTGGCCCCAAAATTCACACACAGAGAACCCTAGGGACACTGGTTTTCAGCAAATGAAAGAGATAAGAAAGCCAGTTACCCTCAGCCCCACCTCACAAAGGCTACATCGCTATTAAAATTTTTAAAGAGGAGAGATCAAAATGGAAAAGAAAAACAAATCTCCCTATTATTTAAAGTCCTGTAGAAGTTGATACACTTAAAACTCTGAAAGCATTGTAAATTATTTTGGAAGGGTGATGAGGCTTTACATTTTTTTTCACTGCAATAGGGTAAGGATTTAGAAACCAGATCAAGAAGTGGAGAGGTCTGAAATCCACCTCTGACCTGGCCGCCTTTGGGGATGGTCATTAAGCACTGTAGAATCAGTCCCCTTTCAACCTTCTGAGGCCCAGTTCAAATTCTTTTCTGGAAAATCATTAAAGTGGGGAAGGGAAGGAAGTCCGTATTTTAGGAAATCAAGAGAAAGCAGGACTCCCCCTGGTTTGTAGTTAGCTAATGGAAAATATCTACCCTTCCCTTCATGCCTCCTAAATTGGAGATGGCTGGGCATTGAAATAGAATGGTACTGTTTGTTTTGACAATCGGCATGTTTCTGTGCATTTAGTAAAACGCATTACGGCAAATTACATTACTGCACGCAGTCCTCGAGGATGCCGAATCTAACCAGGACTGTCTCTCCATCGCCTCGGCCAGTGCGGGATTTTGAATTAATCAAAAGACTTTTCTGTCACTAACCACAGGGTAGTGCCCCCCATTCCTCTGCGATTATCTGTATATGTCTACATGTTTACCCACCTGGGTAACAAAAATAATCAAACAGGTGGATTTACAAACACATTTTGTTTTTTTTTTTTTTAAAGTGAGAACACAAACACACTGTCCGGACTTTGGGCAGAAAACAACACGGGTTTATTTTAAGGTAAGTACAACAATTAAGACCACATAAGACAAACAAAGGTGAAGTTAAATTTTTTTAGTTTTTTTTTTCTTTTAGGAATGCTCAGGGAGGAATCTACTATACAAAACCATCACACTTTGTAAATAAAAAGTATCAGATACTTGACTTCTTTATCGGCCAAAAACAAATAATAAATTATTTTCTTGTTTTGTGAAAGACCTACAACTGGGAAAAGAATTGTGTCTCATCATTGTTCGAGGGGGGGAACCCTACATAGGTTTCTTGAATTTTCAATCTGGCAGTTAGAAATGGATGGGCAAGATGAGAAATTATCCAGTGAACTCAACTTTAAATATTATATTAATGGCTCTGAACAACAACAAATAGCCTGATTAAAAATCAACACGTTTGTACAGCACGGTTAGAGAAATTTAAAATTACACACAGCACATACAGAATCTATAGAGACCCCCACATACCTATGGAGGGCTCTACAGAGAGTCGTTACTGGGTCGCTATGGAATTCGGTCCATAACTTAATTTTTGAAACCCCGAGTGGAGCAGTGAGCACAGCAATGCTGGTCGGGGAGGGGGAGTTTAAAATCAATATTCACGTCGTTGGGCTGCGTCCCTTTTAGGGGCTTCTTGGGACCTCGGAAACGGGGCGGCGGATGGAAGTTACCTGCAGCTTCACAGAGGGCTGGGGCTGGCGCGCTCTCTGCTCCCGGGCCTGAGAAGCAGCTGGTGGACATGTTTTGGTGCCTTTTGCTTCTCCGCAGCCTGAACTGTCTGAGAGGGCCGGGTCTGGGCGGCGAAGCCGGGGCGGGCCAGGACAGGGGAGAGCCGGGGCAGCTCAGTATTTCGTGCAGTCATAGGAATAGGGGGCTGCGTGGCGGTACAGAGACGGCGTGGATCGGTAGGGCAGCTGGCAGCTCGCGTTGCTGCTCACCTGCGGGTCCCCGAGGGTCGAGTTCTCAATCCCCAGCCGGTGGGAGTTGAACATCTCCCGGACGTTGGGGAAAGTCTGCTGCTGGGTCGCGAACGTGTGGCCGGGGAGGTGGTTCAGGTCCCCGCTGTGGTTGAGATACCAGGAGGCCGCCTGGGCCGCCGCGGCCCCGGGCTGCGGCGCCGGCGGGGGCTGCGGAGCCGGCGGCGGCGGCGCCTGCGGGTGGTGGTGGTGGCCGTGGTGCTGGTGGTGGTGGCCCGCGGCGGCGAGCGCGCCCTCCTGGCCGGCAGCGAGGTTGAGGGCGCTCAGGGGCGACGTGGGGCCGCTCGGGTGGTCCGAGAGGGTCTCGTCCAGAGCGGGCGGCACGCACATGTGCGCCGGCCGCTCGGCGCCGGTGTACAGGCTCATGGCACGCATGCTGCACTGGTAGCCGCCCGCGCCCCCGGCCTCCAGGCCCTGCGCGCACGGCTGGCCGTAGGCGGCGGGCGGCGCGGCGGCATAGGGCAAAGCCAGCGGCGGCACCACCAGGCCCGCGCGCCCGGCCGCGGGGCTCAGCTCGCCGCCCGGCGGCGACGTTCGCAGCGTCATGATGTTCTCCACGCTGAAGCCGGGCAGCCCGTTGGGCGCGCCTGCGTGGTGCTCGGGCAGCGAGCCGTCCGGGGAGCCGGCGGGGGTGGAGGTGGCGCTGCGCGGGCTGCCCTGCAGCGCGCTCTCGGGGCTCAGCGTCTCCACCTTGGTGATGACGGGCAGCGCGGGAGACGCCGCCTCGCTCTTGATCACCACCTTCTTCTCGGCGTCCTTGGGGGCGTCCGCTAGGGGGGGTCCGGCCGGGGCGCCCTTGGACGCCGTCGGGGGCGGCTCCTTGAGGTGGGCCCGCTCCTCCTTCTCCTTGGGCACGTCCTTCTTCTTGAAGCGCCGGCGGCGCCGCAGGAAGCTGCCGTTCTCGAACATGTTGTAGGAGTCCGGGTCCAGGGTCCAGTAGCTGCCCTTGCCCGGCTTCTTGTCGTCGCGCGGCACCTTGACGAAGCACTCGTTGAGCGAGAGGTTGTGGCGGATGCTATTCTGCCAGCCCTGCTTGTTCTCCCGGTAGAAGGGGAAGCGGTCCATGATGAACTGGTAGATGCCGTTCAGGGTGATTTTCTTCTCGGGCGCGTTCTGGATCGCCATGGTTATGAGCGCGATGTAGCTGTAGGGCGGCTTTACGAGGTCCTTGGGCGCCGCGGGCTGGTGGTGGTGGTAGGGCGCGTAGGAGCGGCCCATGCCCGCGCCGTACTGCTCCGGGTGGCCCGAGTAGACGCCCATGGGGCTGGCCATGCCGCCGTAGCTGCCCGCCGCCCGGTAGTAGTTCTGCTCGCTCAAGTAGGGCACCACTCCCAGCGCGTTGGGGTCGGACACCGAGTAGCGCGCCTGCATGCTGCGTCCGAGACGGCTCGCCACCGTCCGCGCGCACCGACCGCGCGGAAGGCCCGGCGAGAGCGGGAGCGAGCGGGAGAGCGAGCGAGGGAGGGAGCCGGCGGGCGGAGGGCGGGCGCCCGGGAGCCTCGGGGGCGCGGTGGAGGCGGCGCCGGCGGAGCTGGGGCGCTGGTTCTCAGCGCACCGGGAGGATCAGCATCCTGGAGGGCGCGCCCCGACTAGCGCAGCGCCGGCCCCCGCTCGCTCGCTCGCTCGCTCTCGGGACCGGCGGGCGGCAGCCCGAGCCTGCGGCCGGGGACGCGGCGGAGACGCCACGCGCGCAGGGGACCGAGGCGGGCCGCGGTGAGCGCCGGTAGGGGCACAGCGGCTCTGCGAGCCCCCCGGCAGATCGGCCGCCGTGCGGGTCTGCGAGCCGGGGTCCAGAGTGGCTGCTCTGCCGAGCCCGGAAAAAGAGGCGAAGTCCCTTTTAGGGATTGGGAAAAGTTTCAAAAGTCGTCTTGCTGAAAGCGAGTTTTTACTTTCCTCCGGCCACGCCCTCTCCGGGAACTTTGGGCCAATAACCCGGCAGCTGTGGGGAGTGAGCACCAATCAGGTCGCGCAGCGCCGTAATCCGGCGGCTCTAAGACCCAGCCGCGCCGAACCAGATTTCTCTGCAGCTCACCCTTGACTTGAAAAGATTTTTTAAAAGTTATATCTTATTAAAATTTATGTTATTATCACATTTTGGTTAATAGGCCCACGTGCCCAAGGCAAAAAAAAAAAAAGAAAACCCTGAACCTCCTTTGCAGATAAAAGGTAGTTTGAAACAAAATCGAATTGATTAACGTGGTCAAATATCTCCCTAAAGACCTAGTAAGTAGCAAAGGCCCTGGGACTATTTTTCTTATTAATGAGTGATGAGGCGAATAATTAGATTTCCTAATTACAGGGGCCCAGGTGTAATGGGTTCAAAGCAAACGTGCTGGATTGGAATGGAAGGGGCCTCCCCTGGATGTTGTCATTATCTAAGCAAATAATTAATAGCCAAGAGGGAGTTTTCCCGGTTCAGGGCCGTCCAGAATGACCTGCAAAGGTTTTAGAGTCAAATTATAGAAACTGAGTGCCCGTCGCCCGCACCGGAGGCGGCAGGCCGTGGGGTCTGCGGGGGCAAGGCGGAGTGGGGGAATAGCAACATCTTGGGAATTTATTCCTCTAAATGCGAGGTGGCTTCGGTAAATCATCCCCGTCCTCGTGAGCATTCTACGGAGTTTGGAGGAGAGGGTGAATAACCGCTGGTTTCCCCCTTTTCTCTCCCGAAGGCACCCGCAGCCCGCCGTCGGCCCCAGCTTCGCGGCGGCTCCCCCTGTTCCCAGAAATGAATTCCCTTTGACAGGCTGACTCCCGCGCTCCCCAAAGACGGGAACAATGCCGCCAGCCACCCGGCCCAGGCAAGGCCGGGGTTCTCCTGCTGCGGAGGGGAAACCCGAGCCTGCCTCTGCGGGGGCTTCGCCCCTAGACGCTTGCCCTCCGCGCCGCACGGGCCCCTGGGCGCAGTGCCCCCCTCCCGCTCCTGGCAAAGCTGCCTTGGGATTCTCCGGGTTGGCTTTCTACATCTCGGCCTGTTTGGTTTGGTTGGTGTTTGATAAGACGGTTAGGGCGCCGGGGCTCCGCGGGAAGACGGGGTACGCGCTTGCGAACGGTTAAGACACCTCCGAAGAAGATATTCCTCGTGTTGCTGACCTGGGTCCACTCGGTGTCCTCGCCTTCTAGAGCGTTTCCCTTCCCTCTAGGTATCCCGCAAGTTTGTTATTTGTGGACTATGTATGCCTTCAACACCTAGAAGAATCGAATCCCCCTTTTACCACTTACCCTGAAGGGGCAAGACTTCCCTAAGAAGGACTAAATGCTGGTCCGAATTCTGGGAACTGTCCGTCGGGTTGGGTAGGGAAGAAATCTTCAGATAAGACCTCCGTATTTCACATTTCCTTTCCCTCGACCTGTTCCGTCGGCTGCTTATCAGATTCCCAGGAAAAGCTGTGCATCTAGGGTCAGTCACTCAGTTTCGGGAAGTGGGCAGAAAGCATTGGAGACATCGCATTAGGTTTCAGTAAAAGAACAAAAGAAAAAAATATTTATGTGCATTATCCCTGAATGGTTTTACATTTTGATAAATTCAAAGCAAAGGGGAAGTACAAAACTGATTCGTATTACCTTGAATATTCTGTTCCCAAAACACTCACTATATTTTTTATGGGTGCTCTGAGTTCTTTCTCTAACTTCATGGTGTTTTGGGTGTGTTTTTTTTTGTTTGTTTTTTTTTCTTTTTTCTTTTTGCAATGAAGTAAAATCAAGCCACCCAATCGTCAGTTCACAGGTGAAAGGTTTGAACGTCCCAGACCCCAACTTCCACTACGACTTTATTAATATCTGTATTATTTTCCCATCCATCTTAAAAAAATACCTCTGGCAGAAAGCGCTTTTCTCCTGGAGTGTGTGACAGGCACCATGAGTTCTCTCATAATTTTACTGGAAATGCAAACTGTCAATCGAGAAACAGTCCTGGGTTTGCAGGGCTTCCTGGAGGAATATTATTTATTCTGTTCTTATGAGGGTTTTTTTTCTCTCTCTTTCTTTCTAAAAGCTTTATCACAGCACAGGGCAAAAACCAAAATAGCTAAGGATCATGGAAAACAAATTTCCAAATGGCAGTTTCTGCCTGTTTGTAGTCTCAAAGGGGTCCAGGTTTCAGCCAATGTCCTCTGAGAAGAACTAGGTTGAGCTGCCAAAATTATTAGCCGCCTGTCCCCCCACAAAAAGTGTTGTTGGAAGAAACTTTTATAATCAAGACAGAAAAAGTGAGAGAGACTTCTTCCTCTGCGCCTGGAATTAGGTTTCTCCTCCGCTCGGTAGGACTCCGGGAGAGGTAATTTGTTCAGGTTATTAAAACAACACCTTCCGCACACCTGGATTTTGCAAAAACCGTATTTCAGATCTTTCCTTCAACCTGACAGCGTGCTTGGGATTGGGGGCTGCTGACTTCTTGCCCATTTCTTCCCTTCCCGACAGGGTTGTCAGTGAGCCGAAAGCCGAGTCGGGCCCCGGAGGGCCCTGCGCCTTCCTAGAATAAAAGCGACGGTGCCGGCGAGGGCGATTCCAGGCCCTCGTCCCGCCGCGCGCGGTCCCCGGGCGCCGCCGGCTCCGCGCCTGGAGCAGCCGGGGCCGACCTGTGGTGTTGGCGCCCCCTGAAGGCCGGCGCGGGAACTACCCTAAGAGAGAAAAGGCACAGCACGACCGAGCGGGTTCCAATGAAGGTGCTGACCCCCGGTGGATGAACCTCAGTACTGCGTGGCAAGAGCCGAGCCTTCAGAAACCTGTATAAAGGAAGAGAAGGTAAATAAAACTGGGCGGCGCGTCGATTAAGAGAAAACAAAAGATTTCCCATAGCTTTGCAAGGTGATCTGTTGGAAAACAGCAATGTCTTTGAAACTGCTCGGGGACCAAGAAATCCTCTCTAGAGAGAGTCTCTGAGGTTAAGCCAGTAAAATCTGCACCACTTCAGTGGCCCAGGTCCGGGTATTTTCTTCCGCAACTTGTTGAACAAGTTGCTTGTCGGACTAGGTCTTCCCACGGAGACTGACTTGATGCCCAGGTGTGGCACGTGTTTCAGGGAACCCATCCGAAAAATGCGCTGGGTTGGATTTACAAAGAAGGAGACTTGTAAATGCATCCGCAGCCCCTTCTGCTTCTGGAGCACAACAGTGAACTCAGAGAGGGGACCCTATTCTGCAATCACTTCCCTTTGGGGCTCAAGAGATGTCTTAGGCTTTAGGGAAAGGGACCAGGAATGAAAGCAGTCCCAGGCTTCCGGAATCTACTTGGGATCTGGTGAACCCTTGGGTTAAACAGAGTCACTGTTACTGCTTAAAAATGCACTGTAATCTGGCTCCTAGCAATTTTCTTTTTCTAGGACAAAAAGCATGTCAGTCATGAAAACTATCCAAGCCTGTTTTGTCTCTGAGCGCGGCCTTGCCAAGGAGTTAAAGCAATATGGGACGGTTTGCAAATAATGAAATAACAGGGTGAAGACTTTTTTTGATTGAAAACTTTAAAAAACTTGACAACTAAAGGTAATGCTTGATTCCACATGGAGGAAGTTAAAAAAAACTAATAAAGGACAGGTTTGAGAATACCTGGGGAAATTTGAACCTGAGTGCATATTAGATAATAATCTTGTATCAAGGTTAAAATTCTTGAGTGTGATGATTATACGTGGTCAAGTACGAACATGCGCTTGTTTTCAGCAGGTACACGTCAAAATATTTAGGGCTGATATTCATCATCTCTGCAACTTTGAAAAGAATCAAGTGAAAGTGGGGGTGGGGAGAGGAAGGCATCGAGTAAAATGGGAACCGCTGTGGAGCCTATTCATCGTGCTTACAATGTAAGTTTGAAATTCCTCAAAATTAAAAAATAATGGGAGACAAAGACCTTTGTTACTCCAAAAGTTAAAAAAAAGGGATGTGACACAACACTGACTTTCCATGGAAGGAGGTGCACACTCTAATGTGGGGCCCCAAGGTGGCCCCTGGCACCCCCTCTCCTTGTGTTCTGGACGTTTCTGAAACAGCCATCAACAGCCATGGACTTCATCATGTTAACTTGCGGCTGTTAAAGAAAAACAAGACAGAAATGAAAACAAAAGCTGATTCTCTTAGGAGCTTATCTGTCCTCTAATCCAAGCATTGCCACAATTAATGCAATCAGACATACAGGAATTCCAAGCGCACTGTAGATGCTTTCAGAGCAGCATATTCAAGGCATGCAAATGTTTCTTCCTAAAGAGTAATCACATGCTCTCTATGCTGTCCGTTTCATACACGTCCTGTATGGTCACCTTTATCCATATTGCTATGTAACTGCGTGGCTTATATACCAACTACATGAATTGTATTAGTCCATTGAGGCTGGCATATGCCTCAGTAATGAACACCCTAAGTCTTGGGGACTTAATCTTGAGCCAACCCCAGCTTGGTGGAGGTTCTCATTATCAAAATCATTCGGAAGCCTGAATTTGCTAAGGCTGCTTCTGCTGTTATCGTGGCAGGGACAAGAGAGGGAATTCCTGTCCTGACATGTGTCACTTCCATTCACCAGTCATTGGCCAAGGCTGGTCACATAGCCCCAGCACACCCAGGGGACAGGAAGATGGGCAAGTCAACAGTTGCTTGGCATCTGCAAGCTCTGCCTGGCCCCTCTCTGCAGCCCAGCGCCTGGCATGGCACTTTGGTACATAATAGGTGCACAAGAATGTTGACTGGATGCATGTATACTTGCCCAAGATTTTGTCCCCTGATGTACAAGAGAAAACATTATGTGTGCGTACCATGCTGCTTGTGCTCCTCATGACAGCTTGTTCATCCTCTTTTGGTAGATGCTGTCAATACCACTATTTTACAGGTGAGCGAACTGCAATTTGGAGATCTTAA